GGCAGCATTTCTTTATTAATTTATTATTTGCTGTTCCATTTTTGTCTGTTTCAGGAGTCTTTTCGGACTTGCAGTGTGTCTTCAAGTTGTCTGTTTCAGGAGTCGTTTCCGACTCGCAGTATGTCCAAACAGACTTACAGTCTGTTTGGACCAAGACCGCGTTTTGGACCTTCTCCATTCATGGCCAGGCCCTTTCAGGCCAGGTTCAGTTTCACCCGGTAGCAGACACTCCCTGCTGCACCAGCAGGGAGGGCCTGGACATCCGGTGGGGACCCAGGCAGACCGTTTCAGACCAGGACCAGGAGCACACAAGCCAGGCCCAGCACTATAGATGGCTGGGCCAGTCCAGTGCACACAGTTCGAGTAGCTCACTTCTCGGGCAACACACTGTTGAAGCAGCATGATACAGTAGTGCACTAGAGATAGGCGTAGGTAGGGAGAGAGAGAGGCGGTGGCCATACCTGCAGCAGCCGAGGACCTACCTGGGCACCGTAGCTGGACTTCTCACCAGCGACCTGCAGCACAGAGGGACATACAGGCAGTTAGTACATGGCAGCTGTCACCTGCAGGTGAGACGGTGAGGAGGACAGACAGAAGTCATGTTGGGCTATGAGGCCCAGGATCTGATTCGACATTTTTGCAGCAGACATTGATTGAACATTCAGCAGGGAGACTATTTTTGGACTTTGCTATCTCAATCTTGGTCTTCTCCCTCATCTCCATCTTCGTCTCGCCCTTCCTTCCTCACCTCATACATGGTATCTCCCCATGTGCCTATCAAAAAGGAGGGACCTTTCTTCTATGCGTGCTGTCCCGTGGTATCTCCCCATGTGCATATAAAAAAGGACGGACCTTTCTTCTATGTGCACAGTCCCTCCTCTCTCACATGTGCGGTGTGTGATGGGTTGAGTTGCATCAGCATCTGACAGGTCAGGTCATATCTTTGAGTCTTCCGCTGAGCTACATTGTGCTATTTTTGTATGTATCTGGATGTGCATTGCTTGTTGATGCTTCGCTGACGCTGCATTGCCCATTCGAGTCCTTTTTGTCACTTTGCTCTCTCACATGTGCGGTGTGTGATGGGCTGAGTCGCATCAGTATCTGACAGGTCAGGTCATATCTTATAGTCTTCCGTTGCGCTACATTGTTCTAATTTTGTATGTATCTGAATGTGCAATGCTTGTTGATGCTTCGCTGCTGCTGCATTGTCCATTCGAGTCCTTTTCATCACTTTGCAGATCCTTTGATCCATATACATCGCTCAATTGAGCATGTATCAGAGAGAGACAGAGAGGGACAGAAGAGACTAAGAGAGAGATGGAGCTGCATGAGAGTTGAACAGGGTTACATACCTGATTTGAAGCTGTTGGCTACAGTGCGTTGACTCGAACTCTAAATTTGCATAATATGATCATTCATTGAAGTTCCTAAGCTGTGCGCTAATCTGGTCTCTCCATCTCTGGACTTCGATGTGATTTTTTGGTGTAAACTCCCACTGTGCACATGATTGGAGTGACAATATAAGTGGTTCATTGCACAATCACTGTCATCTGGACATACCTGCAGACATGTGCAAAGGATGGACGAAAGAACTTGGCTCACCACCAAAACTCCAGTAGACGGACGAAACAGATGTTTGTTGAGGATGACGTGACACTTGTAACGTTCTCACTAAGGTCCTGAATTTGATGATTCACTTTGTTCTACGTGTGAGGTTTGTCCAACTGGACAACTAATCAATTACCCAAATTTCTACATGTATTGGATTTCATTGCAAAAACACCCAGCTCGAAACAAGTAACCCAGGAGGGGTTTGAAATGACTGCACCACTTTAGCACTCGGGGTACATGACACCAAGCATTCAGGATTAGGATTTCGGTCACAGGCAGTTCTTCTAGCTCATTGCCAGTCGGTGCTCAGCACAGGGAACGCGTGGTTCATAAGAGTTAGGATCTCATAGGGAAGTGGGAGACCAGTCGAGTCATACTGGAATGGATTCTCTCCCACCCCCCATAGAAGTAGTGTAGAACGAGGGATAGAAACCTATGGAACTGTCATGGGGGCCTATAGGAACTCCTGGAAAGTCTCTTCTTTGTGCAGGCCTCTCAGCATTGAGGGTCTTTTCTTGGGCAGGCCTCTCAGGGAACTCTTTTGGTGCGATGGAACTCTAGCAGCGATCTTCACTGTGCCGTACCGCCAAGTACGTGGAAAGAGGAGATGCAGGGCAAGAGAGAGAGAGAGAGAG